TTTCCTGCTGTACATTTAAGTCTCGTGCTTTGCTTGAAACTGCTCTCAGCATTTATCCTTGATCACATAACAGAAGGTGAAAAAAGCATACAGTTTTCAGGATCAATGCTGCATAGTTTCAACTTTGGAAAATCAAATATAAAGTCTTTGCAAACCAACAGAGTGTAAAGGAGATTTAAAGTGTATGAAATATCACTTGTTTAACCACTCTAAAAATACACATCATTATGTCTGATCTCATCATCTTAGATGCAAGAACATATAACTTATATGAAACATTTTGTATGGAAGATACTGCACATTGTTTCCATGAGCAGGCAGTTTGAGGCATTTGACCCCCCAAAAAAGTGCACAAGTTAATTTCCTTAAAAGCAGTGGAAGTAAACATTAGAGGATGTATCCCAGGAGAAAGTAACTATAACCATAAAAAGCTGGATGATATGTTTGACCACTGAAGACGGTTTAAACACAAATCACACAAACAAAAACAAAACCAACGCAATAAATAACAGGATAAAACAATGAGAACATTCTGGAAATGTTACACCTATAGAGAAATAACACAGCTCCATAATAATCCATTAAGGATGGTGTTTTTACTGTTCAGTGAGACTCAAACAAAAACAAGAGACAAACTAGTGTATGGATTCAATGCAATCTTACAAAAGGCTTTATGAATGACAGAGATTCTGTTTGACCAATAAAATGTTAGGACAACGTTCTTAACTCCATTGGGCTTACAGAGAACATTAAGAACACTTAAAAATGGTTCAGGATGGATCGCGGCACAGGACTGCCTCATAGTAACCTTCATTAAGGCAACTGCAGAGAACATGAACAGAATTTGTAAGTAGCCTCTAAGGTGTGGCAGAGATAGGTGGGGAAGGAAGCAAAAGGATTGTTATGTTGTGCTAACAGGGCAGGAAGATAAAATCATGAAATCACCATTCACTGCCAAAGTAGCTTCAGGGGGTGACAAAGGCCAAGGACCATTGTTAGTTTCATACCAAGACTACATCCACACTAAGCCAGGTCGTTGTTAACATGCTGTGAAAATGACACGCATCCACATTAGGAATTCTGGAAACGTCCTCATCCACACTGATATGCAAGAAAACATGTCATGGTGGGATCAGAGTTCTCAAACTGTTTCTCAATCAGGTTGATCACTGTCAAACTGGTAATCAGGAGACTAATTCTGTGCAATAAGACATAAGAGTATGACATACAGTGTTAGTTACAGATCAAGTGTTCCACCTGAAAGCACCAGAAAGAAATGTTTACATATGTAACCACACATTTAGGAACAGAAAATGAATCACAAACAATTCAGTGACTAGACAGTGAAGGTACACCATCTTTTCCTTTCCCAGGCTGCAAAAAAAGAGGCTGTGTGTGATCGATTGTATGTTAACTGAAATTAAATAAAACGTTTCAGTTAACTTGAAATGTAATCCAATAACATAAAATGTGTTTTACGACACCTTCATTTTCTATATGAGAGGAGGTGAAAAGTTCTGCCTGTAAGTCCATGATGCTGCATTGGTTTTCCTCCACTATGTCAAAAACAAGTAGCTGTCACACCCGATGCTGATCTTTATTCCATAAAACACACTGTTGTGCTGTTACAGGGCTGATGTCATGGTCTAAACTTGACTGATAATGTAATCTGGTAAAGAGTGAGACAGACAGCCCAGTTACTCAGAATGACAAAGCTGTTCTTTCCTCTCCTGCTGTCCATCATTACTTACACTGTCTTCAGCCATATTTACACCTGCTACTCTAACTGAATTCATCGTCTGGACATCTGATCTGACCCACAGGCCTACTTACACTTACTTACACTGTCTTCAGCCATATTACCTGCTACTCTAACTGAATTCATCGCCTGGACATCTGATCTGACCCACAGGCCTTTAGATTGACACCTGGCATTAATAAGCATTCTCATAACCTCCATTCTGCCCACATTAGACCTGTCAAAAATACAGGGAGCGTCAGTCACTTTTCAATCACTTGTTCCAAGGGAAGACTTGCTATCTACAGCTCCTATAACAGCTACTGTCAGTGGTGTCTGAGCCAGCAAAGATCATGAACCAGTGGCTTGTTCACAGCTCATAAAAGCCACCCAATGCATTTCCGTTGCTCCTGTGGTGAAAAGTAGGTCAAAGTCTAACCAAAAATACAGCCTAATGACACCCCCTGTACTGTGTGACAGGCCATTATGACACCTCTGTGATCACTTTTTAAACTGTCAGTATGATGGCAGAGTTGACTTAAACTCATCTTCTTAACTTTGCTGCCACCTATTACACTTAAAACTGAGCCATTTTAAGATGTATCCACTTTGGAGACTGTTTCCAAAAGCTCAGTTTGTGCATAAAAACAATGCAGGCTTAGTGTGGCCAAAAGAGCAACAAAGACGGGGAAAGAGACACTGTAAAGTGGTTAGTGTGGACATAGCCTAAGAATGAAACAAGTTTAAGTGAAGTTTCCTTTGTTGCTAATGGGTGCAATTCTTAAATCAGCTTGCTCTGAATTCCTCTTCAGGGTTCACAATTAGACACAAAACCCAAAGATCTGCCCTTAATCATTTAAGCCAACATAAAGGAAAGACAGAGGGGACAATGGACACTGGTGTCTCTAAAGAGTCAGTTATCACTTTGAGCATGCTCTCAGTTATTACACTAACCACACATTCAGACAAAATAGAAACCTTATGTACAGTAGCTGATTCAGAGTGGATTACCTGCAGAGTGTATCAAATCAAACTAAACATTAAGCCCATATACTCAATCATGTAAAAGTACAAAGAGCCAATTTGTGGCTTAACCTATCATCTAATTATGTGTCACAGCTCAATACAGTACTGGCTGCAATGGAAGTGACAGCAGTAGTGCAGATGGGGAGAATCAATCAGAAGGAGCAGACAGGTACCAGAGTCCTTGTTATTTTACCTGGGCATTGTGAGGAGCCTTGTGTATGGCTTGGAGATGCTGCTTTTTGCACATACAAGTCAAGAAACCAGGAAGTTGGACCTGGTGAGTGACCACGTGCCCCACTGCTGTTCACTGACTCCATGTTCTCAGAAAACAGGAACTTTTATAGTTCTTCATAATCACAATCATCTCTTTTGATCAATCCTGCTCCTCCGCCCAGAAAGTTCTCCAGCTCATCCACTTCTGTCTTCTTGGTCCGGGATTTCTTTTTCTTTTTCTCTTTGTCATCTGCAGCAGCTTCGTCTTTTTCCTTTTTCTTGTGTTTGTGTTTCTTCTTGCTCTTGTCCTCCTCCTGAAAGCAGAGCGACACTGACTTTACTAACCTCTAAACACACTGCTTCTTTCAGTTCGGAATATGAACAACAACATTACCTCTTTGCTTTTCTTCTTCTTTTTCTTCTTTTCTTTAGAGAAGTGTTTGATTTCTTTCTCTGAAATAGCAGCAGATACATACGGTAGTCTTATGGTGGTCAAGAGTAAATGTAGTCCATTTTAAGCATGTTCAATAATTTCTTTTAATGACTCTAAACATCACAATCTCAAAGCAGATTTTCAACCATTTGGTGAAAACAATAAAAGTGTCTGCTTCAACTTGCAACAATTCAAAAAACGAGAGAAGGCAGAAAAGGCTCCAAAAACACATTCAAATCCAGGTATTACACTCCCAATGTAATCCTGAGTAGTAACGACCTCTCAATCTATTGTTCCATTAACTCAGAGACCACCACCAGTCAGTATGCAATACCAGAACAACCATTTCTTAGATCACAAAATCTAAGGCACTTTAAAACACCAAATGAAAGAGATATAATAAAAACATATAAGAATATAATGAGGGAATGTATGCTACATGGGAGCTGTATGTGCAATGATGGTTGGTAACATTATGTTGACAGTGTGAAAAAAAGGAAAACATCAACCAAAGATGATGCACTGGGACAATACAGCTTCCACACACTGGAGTTATCTACAGTCTATCTTCAAACAAAGTAGCGTTTGGAGGCATTTTGGATTTAATAACCAACCATCCATCCATTTTCCTCCGCTTATCCGGGACCGGGTGGCGGGGGCAGCAGTCTAACCTGCTTTGCTTTGCTTAGATTTAATAACCTAATAATGAATTTTACAGGACGTCAGTATTCCCTGTACAGAGTAATATAACTCCAGCATTACTGTTCGAGGTTGTGGTAAGTTGACTCTGAGCGGCCAGGCATGTAGGAGACAGACTCGAAAAAGACATCAGGTTTTCTCAAATCAGTCATTTATTTTAAACAAGTGCCAGCAAAGCACACATGCCAAACAAAATCACTAAACAAACTAAATGGTTTAACTTCAAAAAATCTGGACATTGCAAAACAGGTTCATGACACAAACAGTCTTTCAAGTCTCTGAAAGCGTCCTCACCCTCAGGTGTCCATCTAACCCGTACTGGGCTGACTTTACGAACCATATCAGTCAATACAGCCGATCTCCTCGAAAAATTGGGGATGAGCCGACGGTACCAGCCCACCAACCCCAGAAATGACCTTAGTCTCCTCTTGGTGTTAGGCAGTGGTGCAGCTGCAATCGCCTCCACCTTTCCGATCTGTGGTCGAATGCCTCCACCCCCAATCACATAACCCAGATACTGAACCTCAGGCTTAGCAATATGACATTTCTTCGCATTCATTACCAGACCAGCACTCTGAATGCGCTGAAACACATCCGTGAGATGTTGTACATGCTCCTTCCAAGTCCGGCTGAAGACAACAATGTCATCAATGTAAGCAGCTGCATAGTCCTCTGCTCCTCTCAGAACCTCGTCCACCAACCGCTGAAAGGTTGCTGGTGCTCCATGCAAGCCGAATGGCATCACTCGAAATCTGAACAGGCCACTGGGAACCCGAAATGTTGTTAAATCCTTTGAAGAGTCGGACAAAGGCACCTGCCAATACCCTTTACACAAGTCCAAAGTTGTCAGATAATTGGCCTTGCCCAAACGTTCAATCAGTTCATCCACCCTCGGCATTGGATAGGGGTCAAAAGCAGACACAGCATTCAATTTCGAGAAATTAACACAAAATCTTAGCTTGGGGTCATCCTTCTTAGGAACCAACACCACAGGACTGCACCATTCACTCCTAGAAGGCTCAATAATACCATTAGCCAGCATTTCATCCACCTCCTGTTTCAGTACAGGCACCAATCTTGCAGGGACTCGACAAGTGGTGTCTCTAATGGGCTGTTGTGTTGGAGCAAGCAGTCGAATCTCATGTAT